CTGTTCCATGCTTGCACTAAAATCTGTATGTATATATATATATATCCTGCATATATATAAATATATATATATATATATTTTGGTACGAGGTTCTCAGTGATACAAACTTCATTAAATATTTTGCAATCCTTGAGTTTCAGGACTACAATGTTAAAATTTGTTTACATTTACGATTGTTTACATCACTATCTCTAATCTAATAGAGAGTTACAAAAGCACCTCCTACTAATATGCAGAAAGTTGATTGAGATAAAAATAAGATAGAAAAATTTTAAAAACGTTTATTTCATATTTAAATATGTTAACATAGTAATATATTGATAAAATAATTTTATAATTTATAATTGTTTAAGCATTAACTTATAATGACTTATAATAACGAGTAATATATGTTATAATATTTCGAAAAACATTAGGTTAGAAAAATGTTAGATTAATGTTAAAATTTAAACCTTAAATTATAAATCAATATGTTGTAATATTTAGGAAAGCATTATGATGGCTGACGGCGTGATATTTACTGACCTGGTTGTGTGTCTAACAAAAAATAAACGAAAAAACAACTATTGATTAGTTCAATTTTTGTCGTGACATTTGTCTGTTTAAATGCATACGGCAAATTGACCAGGTAGGTTAGGGTAAGGGTTAGTGATTTAAGCAATTTAAAACATGAAAGGTTTATTTTATTAAATTATAAGTGTGATATTATACGTACAAATTATAATAAAAACATATAAAAGATTTAATTTGCTAAATTATATGTGCAAATTATAATAAAAACATATAAACAAATTATCATTAAAAAAATCTATCTACCTATACATGTAAAAGCGCATGCATCTATTTTAATCTCAATGCACTTCTTGAATTGCAGTAGGAGGAGCTTATTTTACTCTCTATTAGAGATAGTGAATGTAAACAAGCGTAGTCCTGAATGTCAAGGATTGCCAAATATTTTTGCCCATTTTTCGTTGATTGGTTTTTTACCAATAGATTCAACATTTTGTATATATATATATATATATATATATATATATATATATATATATATATATATATACATACATATATATAGGTAGTTGCACAAGAAAAAAAAAGCATGATAAAAAAATTTTCAACTTAATTTCCATAATCTGCAACTTGTTAGCAACCTAATGAGCCAAAATATATATATCAAAAACTGACGTATACCAACTTTAAGAAAGTAAAAACTTGTTTACCACACCATGCATTTGTAAACAGAAATCGAACAGGGAAGAAAATGAGGATAATACATGCAAAGCAACACATGTGAATTTATTTTTAAATGAGTGAATTTTTGTACAAATATGCTGAAACATTCTCTTTATTCACACACCGATAGCTGATAATAAAAACATCTTTTTTTTTTTTCCATTCCTGTCCATACGTCCAAAGTACATGAACTATTTACCAGATCCCATTTATGAAATATCAACTCACCTGCCAAATCTTCATTGTTCGAAATTTTATTCATAAAACCTTTTTGCTCTTTCTAAAGGCTGACAAATAATGGATGATCAACTGATCCAACAGTAGCATCAACAAAAATAATAATAATAACAATAACTCAAGAATATATTACTACTGGCATTTTATATTTTGCAGTTTGTGCTGATCACAAGACTACTTGAACAAAGGAAGAGAAAATAGAAATTAGAAGTTTGTTATAATATCTTAAAGTGACTGAAAATCTTCATCCTCTTCCAAGCTTTCTCCAAAAACATCACATTTAACTGATAAAATATTTTGAAGATCTTGTTGCATTATGTTCACTTTTTCAACTGCTAATTTGAAAACAGGAATCTGTATGTAATAATAATAGATTGTGGTTTTGAAAGAAATAAAACATATATCATGTGTACCATTTAGTTTTACCAATTCAAGGTTTGAAATTATCTGGACATTTCCATATATTGCAGACATCCATGGTTCAGTCATAAATTTTCTGAGTAAGCCAAAAGCTTGATGCTGCGTTACTACTTCAGTTTTATTTATGTTTTCCCATAATGATTTGGTCAAATCAATTTTGTTGTTACTAAACATAAAAATTATTCCACATGCTGTTTATTCATACACATTCAAAATTACTAGTATACAAATTACCCTTTCAGGAATGAACGAAGCAGATGTTCATATTTTACAGCAACGCCACTCATACCTCAAAAAGGAACTTGTTGCAACATTGTTTGCTCTTAAAAATGCTTTAAATACACAAAGATCCCTCTTTTGACCAAATCTTGATCAAATCTTGTAACTTTTATTCGTGGACTATTTGTCATATTCGTAATTTTCTCACTGAAGATATTGCTTCTTCTCTGACTCGATGTTTCGTACTATCACTATCACGTTTAGATGTTTAGATTATTGTAATTCTCTTCTCTACGGTCTTCCTTCCTATCTTTTAACTTTACTTCAAAGAGCTCAAAATAGAGTTTCAAAAGTTGTTTTAAATATCAGTAATTTATCTTCCTGCACAGATTCACTCATTCAACTACATTAGTTACCAGTACGTCAACGCATTATATTTAAACTCGCCGTCCCCACGTAAAAGTTACTAAATACATTTCAACCATCATATCTTCATCAACTTATATTGCGTCGTTCATCAACTCGTCAACTTCGTTTGTCTACATATACTCAGTTACACCAACCTGTCAGCAATTCATCAGTTGTCAACAAATATTTTACATACAGCTCTCCTTCTATATGGAATGATTTGCCTGCCATTATTCGTCAACAGCCAGCCATCAAACTTTTTAGGAAACGATTAAAGAACTTTTTGTTTATCCAGGCCTACTGAAATGTCAAAAGTCATTGTTTATCCAAGCGCCCCTGAAGCTATGCATAGGACGCGATATAAATTAATAACAATAATAATATATATTGGATTTTTAGGACTGTCAGAAATGCAATTATTGATGAAAATCACAGCATGTTCGGCATTAGTTGACTTCCTGTTTAACTTTTTGATTTTTCTAGCGGTTGGTTGAGTTCAAAACAAAAATATTTGTTTATTTTATGCATGATAGAACAAAAAAGCTTTTTTCAGTATTCCTATACCGTCTTCGGTGTTCGAATTGATACGTAGTGTATGTAGCCAGACGCTCAAATAGGTATATATGTAAATGTCTCAACTCTACTTTGTTGATTCCTTGTTTGTTCAAAGTGAATACTTAACACTCACTAGTTTTACAATTTTCAACTTCGTACGATAAAACACTTTTATGTGTCTCTACTCTCCTTTGTTGATTTCTTGTTCGTTCAAAGTAAATACTTAACTCTCATTAGTTTTACAATCTTCAACTTCGTCCAATATTCGTTGATTACTTCAAATACAAGAAAGCCGAAAAAACACTACAACAAAACTGTCTTGTTTTGAAATCGGCAAACAAAAACATATTATTTTTCCATATTTTTGAAATTAATCTGTTTTATTTAGAATCTCACATTCCCTGACACTGAAATAAATTAAAAAAAAAACAACCTAATCTGCAATGTTATATCTTTGTACAAATTTAAAAAGATCTTGAAACCATTCATAAAGAATCTAATTTGTTCTAATATTTTAAAAATTATTATTAGCTCTTTATTTATATATTAAAATGCTGAATTATTAGAATTTTGTTTTTTCAGTTTCACTGTACTCTTTCTTTTTAAAATTAGTTATATTTAAATTAACTCTTTTGATAGGTGGTCGGGCTCGATAAACTTAGCGTTTTATCTCAATCATTTTAACAATTATTTTCTATTTATTTGGAATTTTTTTGAATAAAAAATCATTTCATATTCAGGTACGTAATCGCCAACGATAGGTGTGGTTTAATGATGGTTGAATTTAAATTAACTTGTGCAACTAATTTATTAGCCAATGTTTTTCTATCGCCAGTGGGTGGGATCTTTTGTAATGAATTTAAACTTTGCAATGTCAGCCAAGATGTTATTGATTTGTTGAAAGTAATCCGTTTTATTTAGAATAACATACATATTAGATTTATCTGATTTAAGTATCACTAAATCATTGTTGGAACGGAGACATTTAGCCGCTTGAGTAATTTCCTCGAAAAAACCGGTTAGATTCAGCCTGTAGTTGGCTGTGTAGGTTGTGATCAAAGCTAATAATCTGTTGTTTTTTCAATTTCTTAAATTGATTTTATAGCATCTCTAGTTCAACTTCTTTGTGCATTTTGCTATACATATGTCTAAAATGCATTTTCAAACCAAAATTCAGAAATGGAACTTCGTCGTTAGCCAGGATATGATTAGAAAGATTAACGAATGATTTGTTGGTGTTGTCAGGAAGAATGATATTACCTTAAAACAAGGATTGTAACATTTTTAAGATTATTTCACGCTTAGTTGAGTTGTAAGAATTATATTTTAGCTGTGTGTATAGAGATATAGAGATAAAGAAAGCCATTGATGCAAAATGGGCATATATCTTCAATATATATATATGTATATATATGGTTGTTGGCTAATATATATATATATATATATATATATATATATATATATATATATATACATGGTTGTTTGCGACAACATGGCATAATTTTTGTTATTTGTAAAATTACTCCGAAAGATTTGGATAAAACTGAATTTAAACTTCCACCAATGACATTTTGCTGAGTTGAATAAGTATAAGTACGTATGTTGTTATAAGCACAGAAAAATTCACTGATAGGTATAAAATGTTTTTGATTAAAATTTTGGTACACATTTTAATTTTTACAGAGTATCTAATAGGTGGATCAAAGTTTTATGATGTGAGAAGTTGAAGGTTGAGTGTGCTCAGCGTAGATAATTATAGATTCATACCTATATTTTTTAACTTCAAAAAGTTAACGTAAAATGAGTTAAATTTTATATTAGCGTTGTTTCTAAAAAGTTTTTTAACTATATGCAATTTTTTTTAGTTTTACCGATTGAAAATTTTTAGAGTAAAAGATGAAATTTTCTCGTGGTCATCATCAAAAACTATAAATGCTGGCTATTTAGTATGGTCAATTGCCTTTGGCCATAGGTCACCACGCATGATTTTAAACTCCAGTCAGTGTGAAAGGTACAGATTTCATGTTATTGATGATGTGTTAGTTACAGGACTGTCGAATGGCAGAATCAGGACATGGGATGTCAAAACAGGCATGTAATTTTTATTTCGTGATTAAAATGATGTGCTTTATATTATTTCGTTAGTATTAGTCTTTTTTATCTGTATTGTAGCATATTGGAAGCCTATATTAAAATAATTTATTGAAAGGGGGACTTAAACATGAATTATTGGACCATATTGATGTCATTAGAGATCTTCATTTTGCTCCAGAACTGTTTTTTAAGATGGTCTCAGCATCTCATGATGGAACATTAAAAATATGGGATTTTGATGATGACGGCAACATGTGCAGAACTATTAAATCTCCGTTCGGACAAGTATATAGTTGCAGATGGTCACCAGATGTTAGTTTAATTGCTGCAACTGGAAACAATAAAAATGTTATTACTTTTTTTCACTATATGTATTTCTAGTTTTCAATTTGGCTATCAGGTTTTATAAATTTTATTTTGTGCGATTTGGGATGATGTACTAATTTTAAAATTTTGGACAATCAATCAATCCTCGTTTTAGTTTCCATCCGCTATGAGTCGGACTTTTTTTATTCCATTCATCAGTTCCATTGCGTCTGTCTCCTTGAAACCAAGTGCCCTCAAGTCCTTCTGTATGGTCTGCGTCCAGGACATTGTTTGGCGACCTCTTGGGCGGATGCCAGGCACCTGGTGCTCAGTAACGGAAATTTTTATATCGTTTTCGCTTCGCTTCACATTGTCAAACCATCGTAGGCGATGACGACGACATGCATCCTTCAACGGGCACAGTTCTGATCGGTTCAAGATCTCGGTTGTATGGATATGGTCCTTTAGGTCAACATGCTGCATCCAACGAATCATCTTCATGCCAGTTCGATGAAGCTGCTGTTCGAGTTTTGTTGTCATCGGCCACGTCTCTGCACCATACATCAGAACAGAACGTATAGCTGTGTTGTATAACCAGAGACCACAGGCTCAGCGGCACCACCGGTGATCATAGTTTTTGTTTAGTCAAGGTTTACCTTTAGCCCGTGTTCGCCGAGCTGGGTATTCCAGACCTCAAACTTTCTGGCTGCGTCTTGTTCCTAAGCCACCGTCAGAACGATATCATCTGCATATATCACACTCCATATGTTATCTAAGCGTATCGGTTTGGTTATTTCTTCCATCACCGTGATAAAGAGCAGGGGGCTGAGTATTTATCCTTAATGGACGCCGACGTTATTATCAAATTCATTCGTGTTATCAGCTGTTGTGCTGACCAGAGCTTTTGTGTTAGAGTACGTTGCCATAACCAGCCGAACCAGATTTTCGGGAACAAGCTGTCTACATAGACTTCAACTGATTGCCTCACGAGGCATTCTGTCAAAAGTCTTTTCCTAGTCCTTGAAGGCCTTGACAGTCGCTTTTGCTTTACCATGTATTTTTCCTGTATTTAACGATTGATACAGATAGCAACAATGGCGGATCTCCCTGCCATGAAGCCGTACTGGTAACCACCTATTGATTTACTCCACATCTCTCGACATATGTGTAAGAGGGCTCTGAAGCTTGCCCCACCAGATGCCTTGATGATATCATTTGTAAGTCCAGACGGACCAGCCGCTTTACCCATCTTCATTGTCTTAAGGGCATCAGTAAGCTCCTCAGCTGTGATGCCCTGAATCGGTCCTTCCACCGGAAGTGCATCAAAGTCCACCCCAATAGGGTTTGTCTCATTCAATAACTGGTCGAAGTAATTCTTCCAGTGATCTTTCACTACATTCTGCAAAGTTATTATGGTGCCTTTATAATTTTTTATGCATGTGGCACCAACTATATTCTTTTTCAGTCTTCTGGCTATTCGGTAAAGTGACTGAAATCGCAACCTGACCTATCGCTTTTGTGTTCTTTGATCGGTATGTCTTTCGATCTTCAGTCTTCGTCTTCGGCTATTGTTTGAAAGCTGCTTTCTTACTGGTTGCATTTTGCACGTCTCGTTCCACCACCAAGTTTTGCGGTTGAGCTGGCGTTTTGGTCCAAATTTTCCAAATACAGCTGTTGCAGCGTTCACTAGGGTGTCCTGAAAAGATTTCCAGGTTATGTCTACCTTTTCCAGACGATCCAGCTGTGCCGATACCAACTTCTCGAATTTCTCCCTGAACATGAGGTTTTTCAGTTTCCATGTCTTTATTCTAGTAGGTATTCGATTAGTCGCAGGGCGTGATCGTTCCATGATCAAATCGGCCACCAGCAATTGATGTTGAAATATGCAGGCTTCGCCTGTAATGACTTTTGTATTCCTGAATAGTTGTCTGTGTTGTTGTCTGGCGACAATAAAGTCTATTTGTGTGCATGACATCCCGCTTTTATATGGAATCAAATGTGCTGCCATCTTCTTGAAATAAGTGTTCATCAGGGAGAGTTCATGGCTTTCAGCAACATCTAGAATCCGTACACCGTCTTCGTTTTGAGACTCGTAGCCAAAGCTTCCATGAACGCCGTGGAATCCATTTGCTTTCTCTCCAACATGGCCGTTGAGGTCGCCACATGTCAATGGTATCTCTGATGATGGTGTTTTCCCGACGGTTTCTGAGAGTGTGTTCCAAGAGTTATTTTTGGCGTCTTCAGATTCACCGGTCAGTCAGAACTTTTTTTCCCATTCCAAGTTAGCATTAGGCGTGAGCTGATTCGAACCACCTTCGGTATATTTTGTGCCAGTGATTCCCGTATGAAGATTCCCACTGTCTTTTGACCATTCCAGAACAACTTGTAACTCCCAATGAAAAAGACACCATTTGATTTCCATTTTGTTTCCTGCAGAGAACAGATGTCAACCCTTCGCCTTTCCAGCATGGACGCTCAATTTTCTGCAACATCCCTCCACTGTTGCGTACTTCCTGGATATTGTCACTTCTTGACCATTTAAAGTCTTTCAGGGAATACGAGATCTTTTCTTTTTTTGTGATGACATGGAAGATGTTTGGGTCAACAATTTTTTATAACTGAAATTGCCCAATTCCTAACGACAACCACCAGTTATAAGCAGTAGATCTAGCCTTTTAGCTGGAGGCACACAAGGCAGCGCGGTTGCAGTTTAGCTTGCGCCCAAGAGAGCACTGTTGTAAGCAGTGCACCTAGCCTTTGGGTCAAAGGTCCTTGTTTCAAAAGGCAGTGGATTTAGAATAGAAGATCATCCGCTGTTGGAGCCGTTGTCCTAGGATCCTCCACCTCTTTCATCGTTGTCTTCTTTATTCTGGTACGGTTGGTTCGCGGCATTATTCGATGCAATCCTAGAAGGTCTCCCTGTCCAGGACTTTCCCCTATCCACCACCTTGGGGCGCGCCTCATAGCCAGTGCACCTCAGCATGAAGCAATTTTTTTATTGAACAACAAGTTGTTTAAAATGTTCTTTATAAAAATTGAAGTTTAATGTCGTAAATCAGGCAAAAATAAATAAATAAAAATGGTAAATATATTCGAGTAACTATTAATTTAAAATTTAAACTAAATGGTAAGTTTTCGTTGGTTTAGATAATATGTAGAGTTTATATAGCGCCCATTCAAGTCCTCATAAACGTTGTTCGTGTCGCAGTGACCAAACTCTCCACATCACACGCCGTACATGCACGTACTGTATGCACGCACAAGCACCGTCTTTGAGTTTCGGACAGACAGACAAACAGTATTCAAACCAGGCAATTGCATAACTGCACAAGATATGGCACTTCTACCGATTGAGCGACTCGCCGACCTCAGATAATAACATATTTTGTTTAATCTGTGTACATTTCAATATTGATGATGATGATTCCATATAATATTAATAATAATGTCATTTATTCATTAATGTCATATAGTAATGTTAATTATATATAAATGCTTCAAGGTTTGTTTGTGGAGCACATCGAATTTTGAAATTTTTCATAAACTTGTTGGTCACAAAAACGTTGTCATGAAATGTGAATTCTCTTCTGATGGTTCTATGCTAGCAACTGCGTCTCGTGATACCGTCGTCATTGTATGGGAAGTTGCTACTCAAACTCCTATTGCCAGCTTTTTGTAAGACATTCGTACTATGTTTTATGCGAAGTTAAATTGAAATCAGTGTGATGAATTCAGTATAATTCTATAAAACTATAGTCATGCCAGCCACTTCAGTTTTCTTGTCAATAGTTTTAACTATTTGGTTTAGATCATTCGAACGCTATTTGTTAAGTCAATGGTTAAATTTAGCACTTAATAATACGGCTGCCATAGTTGCCAATGAGCGTTTACTTAAAATTCTCCTTTGAACTTATGTAAAATGTTATTCATCTATGATTCTTTTGAACTGACTCGCATTTTTATTTGAACATTTCTTAACATTTGAACATTTTATTTAAAGAAAACCACCAGAAGCCCGTTATGGTTTGTATGGTCACTAAAAATAATGACAACAAGAAATGATATTTAAATGTTAATCAATTGATCGATTGTTAAAAGTTAGAACAAAATGACAGAAAAAAAATTCGTGTATCATTTCAATATCAATAAACGAAAAATAATTATTCTAAAAAAGTTTATTGTTCAAGATTATAAGGTCGATTCAAGTGTAAATTAATTATTGAAAAAAAATTAAATCGGAAAAAACTGAACGTAATTAGTATTAGTGGTGGTGGTGGTGGTAGGTAGTAGTAGTAATAGTAGTAGTAGTAGTAGTAGTAGCAGTAATGCTGTTCTGGAGATTATCCAGAAAGCATGCTGTCAGGCATGCTAGCACAGCTGATTCGTTGATTGATTGTTGTTCATCCAACAACCAATGCCTGCTTTAAATTTTTTCATTAATTGTGTCTCAACAAGTTCATTTGATAATGAGATCCAAGATGGAACCAACTTCGTTGCTCTGTGCTGGACTGTTGATCACCTCGCTATCACTCTTTAAATCTGGGGACCAAACTGATACTGCAAACTCCAACAGTGGACGAATAAAATTTAGGTATAAATTACGAAGCAACTTATAATCAAATTTTCTAAAAGATTTTTTTATTCGACCATGCATTTGGTTTGCTTTGATTGATGCTGTGATGACTTGATTTTTCCATTTTAAATTATCTGAAAAAATCACTCCAAGTTCTCTCTCGGATTCAGATTCTGCATAGAGTGTTCCATTTATGTACAGTGGACATTTTTTATTACCTGATCCGTAGTGCATAACAGTACATTTTTCTATATTGATCCGTAGAAGCCAGTCTTGCGTCCACTTAAATTTCTCATTCAAATCAGATTGAAATTTGACCGCATCATTATCATGATTTTAGTATCATCTGCAAAAACCAATTTTGTCCAAATTATGCATGATTTTAAACAACTAAATCAAATATTCTTTTTTTATTTCCACCGAAGTTGTTAGTCTTAATTTTTTAAGACGATCTTCGTAAGCTAGAGTTACAGTTACAGTTATCACAGTTACAGTTATTTATAACTGTAACTGTGATGGAAGAAATCACAAACCGATACGAACTGGTGACATTTGGAATCTAATATATGCTGATGATATCGTTTTAACAGCCACGTCTGAGCAGAATGCACATATGTTTAAAGATCGGAACACCAGACTGGCCGATCATGGATTCAAAGTCAACATCAGCAAAACCAAAGCAATGAACACTGGTGAACCCATCCAATCCACAGCTACTGGACGATGGCCCTGTTCAGTTTGTAAAGCTGATGTAGGTAACAATTCAATCAAGTGTCAGTAGTGTAACCAGTGGTGTCACAAACGTTGTTCAAAAATAATTGGTACTTTATCTAAAGTGTCGAATTTTGTTTGTCCTGCTTGCATCAATCCACAGCAACAAATTCGAAATAGCAATGTTTTTGAAGCCATTAAGGTAGAGAAAGTTTTATCGTTTCGATATCTAGGGGATGTTCTGGATTGTACTGGAACAGCTGAGGCTGCCGTTCAAGCACGCATGCGTGCAGCCTGGAATAAGTGGCATCTCCTTGCCTCTATATTGATGCGGCGTGACATCCCACTACCACTACGATCAAGACTTTATAAATCTGTGATACGTCCGGTGTTGTTATATGGTGCGGAAACATGGCCAATGACAACCAAACTGGAACAACAACTTCAAAGAACCGACATGAAAATGCTCTGATGGATGCAACGAGTTAGTCTGAAGGACCACATCAAGTCTACCGAAATCTAGCGTCGTGCTGGTTTAGATGATATAATGGACGAATGCCAGCAACACCGTCTGAGGTGGTTTGGTCATGTCAAACGAAGTGGAAACAGTGCCATAACTTCTCTTGCAGATGTTGAAGTACCTGGCACACGTCCCAAAGGCCGTCCAAAGAAGTCCTGGTCGCAAACAATCGAGCAAGACATGAAAGCTCTAAATTTAAATGAAATGGATACAACTGATCGTCTAATTTGGCGCAAAAAGTTAATGGCAAAGAAAACAACGTCCTACCTCGGCTCCTAGTTTTTGGGATGATTTTTAATGGCATCGTCTCTTGTACATAGTGAATCTACGCGGTAGTATTGTAGTAGTCATCCTTATATATGAGGTTTGAAGACGCGCACAGTCAAGAGGACAAGAAAATTTATGTATGAGATGACTACGTTTCAAAAAAGAAGTTGTGTGTGGTGAGCAGTTATTCAAAATTAAAATGTTAGAAGTTTTGTAATTTTTGTAAAAGATCCTTAATTTTATTTTATCGTTCGGGTTTGTTGGTTTAAGATTATTATGGATTATCTTCATGATCTTTTCATCAGTTTTGTAGGACGAAGACATAAAATTTCGATAGTATAGTATAATGGTGTTTATTTTAATTTTGTTGTTGCTGATGATGGAATTACCGTTTTTGTTATTGTTGTTAGTGTTATTACAATTGTTGTTGTTGTTAATGTCATTACCGTTGATGTTATTGTTGTTAATTTTATCACCGTTATTATCGTTATTATTGTTATTGCGTTATGGTTGTTGTTGATATTGGTAGCAATATTTCTGTTGTTGTTTTGGCGCAAATGTTTTGACTTTTTATCGATGACATTTTTAATTAGATCTGTGCTGTGATTATTATTTATAAGAAGGTTTGTGACACGTTTGATTTCTGATGAAACGTCGTTTGGGGATGAGGAGTGCGTGAAGGCGCGGTTGATGAATGATTTTACGGTACTCAATTTATATTCATCAGTATCATTATATTTATCATCATCATTATTTAATTTTATGTTCAATTTTATGTTTAACCCTATTTTAAAAGTACATTATATTATTACATTTATTATTATCAACATTCAATATATAATTTAATTTCATCTTAATATTATTTTATTTTTTCCAAACTTATCTCATTTTAATGATTTTAATATTTTAATATTATTCACACATCACGTTACTACAACTTTGCCGTGAAATCTGGAGAAATTGCTCGATGCCGACTGAATGAAACTATAGCATGACAGTCCCGCTATACAAAGGCAAAAGTGATTCATTGAACTGTTCATAATATCGGGGTATACGTCTTTTAGAACACTCCCTGAAAATTGTCGAGAAAATCATTGAGAGAAGATTAACGTCGTGCATCACAATCGAAAATTATCAATTTGGTTTCCTAGCGGGGAAATCAACAATTGATGCAATTCACATCCTTCGGCAATTGCAGGAGAAGTACCTCGCAAAGCATCAACAACTATCACACATTTTTGTAGACTTTGAAAAAGCATTTGATCGAGTTCCCCGTGAAGCAATCAGGTGGAGTCTACGTCGACAACTCATTCCATCTGGTACTGCAGGTATCCAAACGTTACTACAACTTTGCCGTGAAATCTGGAAAAATTGCTCAATGCCGACTGAATGGAACTATAGCATGACAGTCCCGCTATACAAAGGCAAAGGTGATTTATTGAACTGTTCATCACATCGGGGTATACGTCTGTTTGAACACTCCCTGACATTTGTCGAGAAAATCATTGAGAGAAGATTAACGTCGTGCATCACAGTCGAAAATTATCAATTTAGTTTTCTAGTGGGGAAATCAACAATTGATGCAATTCACAATAATATTCAGCTCCGATCATGGCTAAATAGCCGAAACAGCGCTGTCAGCTGACAAATTTCATGGATGTTTTGAATAAATACGAATTCAAAAGACTACGTGGTGTTGAAGTTCTTATCAAAAAACTTTTAAACGCAAAGTGGGCATACAAATTTAATGAAATATGCATCAACGAAGGCCTTGTCCCAAACTATGTATATATATATATATAAAATGTAAATCTATATATATAAATATATATATATATATATGTGTGCGTGTGTGTGTATAACATATATATGATAATACATATAAATATAACAAATAAGAATATATAAAAATTATTTTGCCATTTTCCAAGGTTTTTGTAAAAAAAATTATCCATGACATAAACATTGATTTTCTTTAATATGGATTTGATTTTTTACCTCTCCTACATTAATAGCTTTTTCACTCCGTTTTTGGTTCAATTTTTCAGGATTTCGCATTTTTCTGTGCAATTTTTGGCAGCTTTATCTAATTTGCGGGGCTCTCCAGCAAAAGAAATTTCAACGCCTTTAATTTTTGCTCAATTTGTTATTAAATAATTTTTCCGTTTGCGATTATTTTTGATCACGGGTTTATTAGATTTTTGTCTAATTATCTCAAAAATATTTCAGAAATGATGATGAGCAAGAAAGTTGATATCATAAATGTTTTTCGTCAAAATTTGAGCTGCTGCATCATGTAATTTTTTTAAAACTTGTGCCTACTTGTAAAAGCATTTTATCACGAAATTCACTACCGCTTCATATTATACACTCTACTTGATTTTAAAGTCTTTTTACGGTTATCTCGACTGTTTCCGATAACGTATGTGTTAATGAAGAAAACAAATCGAAAATGATTTCAAAATGTTTTGATAAACGCTATGGAAGTATTAATACTTCCAAATGCATAAATCACGCTCCACCGCTAAGGGAAAAATTTGAGTTTATTAGTTTTTTTTTATCATTTTTGTCTCTTGCATCTAACGTCGCCAAAAAACTTATTTACTCAACATTTATAAGGCTCCTAAATGTGTTATGAGAATCTATATCATTTTTGTGAAGATATTTAGCAAGGTTTTTTTAAACTAAATTAATTAATGGTTTTAAAACGTGCACAAATATGAGTTAAGTAATTACATAATTACATTAAATTAAATTACAAACCTTTTAACAGCCACCTTCTTCCTAAACCCGAATTTATTTTTGCTGGAGGATCAAATGACTTTTATGTTCATGACGTTTCTTTCTGCAAGTATAATAATCAACTAGTGACAGTGTGTGAAACAGGGTTTGAATATTCATTATTTTTAATTTTTCCCAGTATTCAAATTAAAATTTTCAATTGGTGAATTAAACTAATGATTTTGGCAAACAAAATAAAATATATCGGTCTCAGAAAATTGTAAAAAAGGACCGATCTGGGACACTTTATTAAATAGACGGAAACTGTGAATACCTATATTAAATTATCAAAACTGCGCCGTATCATGCTCCATTAAGCTTTGCCAAGCATTAAATGTGTATTCGATTACCAAAACAAGCACAATTAGTGCACTGAAATCAATCAATGATCTTTTTTAATTGCGCGACCGTTGAGGTTGATGATAACCAATTTATTTTCGAATTTTCTAAATTCTTTTTTATCTTCGGCCAATTTTTTGAATTCAATACTCTCACCCTAGTCTATTCTGAAATGACAAGTATTGCAACTTTTTTCTTCCAGTATCTCTTTTCTATAAATCTATTATCCGGCTTTTTGCAAATATGTCCTGAGTCAAAATTTTTGTACTTCAAAATTTTATATATACTCATTTGTTTTCCAAACTTGTTACAGTTATTTGTAAGTCTAGGGAGAAACTCCTGGCGCTGTACTAAACGTTTGCTAAATTTTAACCTGAATAAAACAATTTGATCTCCTAACTTGAATTCAATATTATGTTCTGATAATTTAAATTTTGCCTCTATAAACAATAATTCTAATGGTAATAATAAAGATTGTCATATTTTTGCACGAAAATCTGCTAGGGGAGAAAAGGTATTAAAATGCATCAATGTTCATGCAAAAGTTTTAAAACGCTAGAACAAGTCAGACGATACAAACGACGACTCCAATTTTCCCAGATCGCCTCTGCAACCAGCGTTTGCTTCATCAACCGACAACCCAATATCTTCTTCAAATTCAACACCAGCTTTAAAAACCAACAGAACAACAGAAAAACCACTTCCAGGTATCAAGCTGCCAAGAACCGAAGCAGGCTTGGCTGAAGCCAACTCTTAATTTCAACTCTAAAAAATTAACTTGCAAATTTCAACAACCTTGACAAAACAACCACCGAATTTCAAAATATAATTTACAACTATTTTGCAGAAAACAGGAATTATTAAATCTCCAACTTCCATTAATGAAATCAACTCAAACAAATCCATTAGAACATTAAAAACAAGCTGAAACAACTCCAACATACAACAACCACAACTTCGATGAAGAAATTTGTAAAACTAGTAATGTAATAAAATTAAAATTGAAAAAAGTACTTCAACCCTAGAAAAAAACATCAATATTTCAACTCAAAACAAAAATTCTGGAAGACATGCAAAACCCTGTTCAACTCGTCAAAAGGTTTGTCTCCTCTTTTTAATTCTCACGAATGCAAACTATATTTTAGTTCGATTTTCAACAACCCACAACACAATCATCATAGTTTGTCAAAATGGTCACTAAAACTCTGGGAACATTCAATTTCGCTTAATACCAATCCACCTACATACTACGAAATCGCATCAATAATACGTAGGTGCAAATCGAAATCTTCTCCTTGCCTTCTCGATCATATTTCAATAATACCATTCAAAAAATGTTCATTTCTCCGCACAATCCTTCATCAAATAATAACCAAATACTGGTCGTCTTCAACAATTCCATTATGTTGGAAAAGATGCTTCACAATTTTAATTCACAAGGAAGGGATGCCAACGACCCTGCCAGCTTTAGACCAATTACTTTAAAACCCATTCAATATAAAATATTCTCCTCACTCATAAACAACAGAATGTACACATTTTTAAAATCCAACATATTCAAAAAGGTTTTTATTTAAAAATAAATGATTTGTTCGAGCATACTCAATTATTAACGCATATGCTCAAAGATGGGAAGAAACACCAAAGAACAGTCGTCATCTCACTCCTCGATCTTCACAACGCATTTGGCGAAGTAAGTCACAGCCTGATTTCATCATCACTACGTTATCATCACATTCCTCCATCAATAATTAACTTAATAAAATTGATCTGTGCGGATTATTCAATATCAGTGTCCATAACTAACCCCTCCGATCCCGGTTAAATGCGGTGTGCTGCTAGGCGATCCTTCTTCACCATTGCTGTCAACCTTTGTTTCAATCTACTGATGAAATTGCTATAAAACGAAGAATACCAGCAATGCGGCTATAGGTGGAGTCCTGCAGCAAACCTGAAAGCAAGAGCCCGATTCCAATTTGCTGATGATTCAACAATAATCGCCAGTAGCACTGAAGGTGCATAAAAGCTAATTGACCTCAACCAGGCTTTGTGTGACGCCACCGAAATAAAAATGAGGATCGACAAATGTTGCGCGTTCGGCATGAGAAAAAAATGGTATTTACGAACAATTCCTGCCGATATTAACAATTAATGGAACAGCCATTCCTCAGATCCGCACGGGCGATCACTTTCAATATCTAGGTAAATACTACGATTTTGATTGCAACAACACTAACGCTAAAGGTTTGCTGCTCGGTAAACTGATAAAAATGCTGTTGATTATTTCTAAACTTGACACGACAACTTAGCGAAAGCTGCAAATCTTAAGATGTTACATCCCATCTCAACTGGTATTTGAGCTGCGTATTTACGAAATTTCATTAACTTGGATTGCAAACAACTTGGACCCTTTGATTAACAATGCTGTTAGAACTTGGCAGTTGTTTGGCAGAAATGCTTTCATTACTTTATAAACTGGGTGGTTTAGACATCAGATTGCTGAAAAACTTTGCCGAATCACTGAGAGTACAACTTCGCAACGGCTTTAAGTCCAACAAAAATGAGAAAATAAAAAATCTGTGGTGCGAATCGATAAAAAACTACATCAAAATAGACAATTTGTTTTCAGACTCTGAAGACATCAATCCTACTCTCAAAAATTTTAAATTTGAGCCACAAGAAATTGAATTCGCCCACCTTACATCTTTGTAGTGATGAAGGCAGTTAAAGAGCATATCAGCGCTTCTCAAATTATTCATTGGTGGAAAACGACAGCCACACTTCCACAGGTAATTTTTAAATTTGTTAGAAAAGCTATAATTCAGCGGCTGCCAACAAACTCCAGTCTGGTCAGATGAGGCCAATCTTCTAACACTCAGTGTTCATGTTCATTGTGCAACACTAAGCAAACCAACAAACACGTTATGTCTAACTGCGGCTCATCAACAACTTTAAAAAGATACAAAATTCGACACGACATAATTTTAACAATAATTTTAGAAAACATCAAAATTGCACGAATTCTGAAGTTTCGATATTTGCTGACCTGGATTACGAAGATTGCCGCCCGGTTTCAACACTTTTCAAGTCGTTTCGTCCTGATATTGTCCTGGTTCGCAATGACATCATCGAAGTTCTAGAACTAACAGTGTGTCATGAAACGAGTTTGACAAATCGAAGGAATTTAAAATTAACAAATATAATCAAAATTTGCAATTAAATTTAAAAAACAAATACTATAACTTTAAACTTTTAATGAAAACTTTCGAAATTACTATATTAGGATTTCATAATACTATTAATTTATTACTAGTTAATTTAGTATGTTTGAAAATTTTAGAGACATTTTAGTAAATTCTGTTTTATCATCATCTCAAGTGTTAGAAATACCGTATGAATCCTATTTTAAACTACCATCTTCTATTAGTGCTACTACCAGTTTTTATTAATTTTTACTCTTTTATTTTATTTTAATTTATCTTATTTTATTTTATTGACAATTCTTTTTATTATTATTATTATTATTGTTATTGTTGTTGTTGTTGTTATTATTATTATTTTTTATACATAATACTAGTTTTAAATTGTTCAATTAGTTTTAAAATTGGTTGTTTGAAAAGGAATAATTTTGCAGATGATGGAGAGAGGTTTAAAATTTAGATTTTATTATGCTTTTTATTTAATTTTAATTTTTTTAATTAACGGAATTTATAGCATAAACTCTAATAAATGTCCGCACTGTGATAGAATATTCATAAACGTAGGCAGACACTCCTGGCGCTGTACTAAGAATGCTGGATATTTCAATACTAATGTTGTTCGCACAAGTGTAAATTCTAACGTTAATATTTCGTCAAACATTTATAACGCAAATTCTGTTGACAATCATTCTATTAATTTGAATAATAATAATTTAATATCATGTTGTTGTAGTAAAATGTGCAAGGGCCGTAAGGGTCTAATTATGCACCAACGTTCGTGCAAAATGCACAAATCGCTTCGACTACCACAAAATTCAACGAATAACAACATGGATAGCACACTAACATCGCCAGAAAAATTAACTTCAACTCTAAACCACGACCCATCTTCGTCATCGTCGTCAGCGCAAGCGGTTGTAGCAACGGAATCAGCTATCCCTGGCGTCAAATTACCGAAAACGCCAGCCCAATGGTTCGAAGCCAACGCCTTCTTCCAGCTACAACGCAGGCTTCTACCAAGTCTCAACAACATCGACGAATTCACAATCACATTTCAAAAAATTATATACGACTATTTTGCTCAAAATTATGACACCATAAAAACTCATACTGACCAGAACAACATCACAAACAAAAGCATCAAAGAGCTAAAAAATAAATGGAAACATCTACAAAACATTCGGTTTGTTTCATAAGATAAGTATCCAACAAAAGTTGGATACTTATCTTATGAATGCCAGATTTATGTATGATTGGAGGGCAAATGATACTTGATGTAACATTGGCTATTTGTGAGATTGGGATATATTCAATTTTTTTTTATCAGTATGTATCGATATTATCGTCAATTTATTGATTAGGATATGTGATTAATTAATTTATTTATATTTGTTTTTTATTATTATTATCTTTCTTTTTATTTTACAAGGTTTAATATATTATTTGACTTATAAGAACATTAATTATTTTAAATATATTCAGTATAGACTCATAGGTTTATTTAATTTATTGTTTTAAAATTGTCTTAGTTTTGAGAAGGCACAAGGGACGTTTTGTCTTCGCCTTT